TATACATATATATATATATATATATATATATATATATATATATATATATATAAACTTACTTAGCCCAAACTTTTGAATGGTAGTGTATCACGGTTTCTAATAATCAGAAATATTTCTGAAGAATCATGTGACACTGAAGACTGGAGTAATGATGCCAAAAATTCAGCTTTGATCACAGAAATAAATCACATTTTTACAATATATTCACATAGAAAACAGCTATTTTAAATTGTAATAATATTTCACAATATTACTGTTTTTATTGTGCTTTTGATCAAATAAATGCAGCCTTGTTGAGCAGAAGAAACTTTTTAAAAACATTAAATATTTTAATTATTTCAAACTTTCGACTGGTAGTTTAAATACCGTAAGTAACAACTTGTTTGGCTATTTCAGTATAGTTTCGAGGTATTTAAATAGTCTTGGGTCAAACAGAGCATGAGGGTCAAATAGTTCTCTCAATAAATGTGTAACTGAACACCATTATGTAGATAAAGTAAGATGACTAATTAATGAATACAGAAGAGGAAACACTGTATAACATGACCCAATTAAAGATGCGTACTATGTACTTAGAAAAGCTCCCTAAAGAGCCTTGAGTCCCTGAGAGAACATCATACACACAACAACAGTACAAACACAAATGCTTACATAAAACATATAACTGGAAGTATTTGAATCTATGAGTGTTACAGCGTTTTAGCAAAATATCAAACCAAGTGGCATTAAACACTCTCTTTGGGACATTTTTTTTTTGTGTCATTACAGCAATGTTAGGTCTGATCTGTAAAGCAGAACCAATTAAACGTCTGAGGGGCCAATCTGGGTCAGGTGTCACACTAATTCATGTTTTAACATATTACATAATTTCATTATTTCAGGCAGTTGATCCTGCCTATGTAATGTTCAAAGCTAAATGGATTTTATTTTTATTACTAAATGGATTGTATAGTAATTCTCTCTCTCTCTCTCTCTCTCTCTCTCTCTATCTATCTATATATATATATATACAACATTAATGAGGAAAAAAAATTAACTTAAATGATTTTAGCAAATGGCTGCAATATAACAAAGAGTGAAAAATTTAAGGGGGTCTGAATACTTTCCGTACCCACTGTATATATAACTGAAATACAATTAACATAAGTATTAGATAAATACTTAAATGAAAATGAAAAATCTTGCCTTGTCAACTAGTTGAAGTTGCAGTAGTACTAAAACTGCTAAAAAAACAAAAAAAAACTATAAATATTTAAAGACGAGATATAAAAACAACTATAAAAATGACAAGCATTTAAGAACATTCACTTCAACAAATTAAGTATATAAATAATACTACTAATTCTAAAACTACCTTAGAATACTATAGTCCAGCATGATTTGAGAATGTTTCAAACATTCAAATCCTAAATGTTTTACTATTATTATTATTATTCATTGTAGATCATAATGGTTCTTTGTACATTTCTTTGAATTGTTTAAAACATAAAACCTGGTTTAAATCAGGCTTTCAATATTATCGATGTGATCATTTTGAACACCATTTTGTTTTAGAATCATTGCTTAAAAATAAAACAAAATTAAATACAATTTCTCAATTATAGTGCTCTACCACAACACTCGATGTGTAGGCAAATCAAGTGCCAGAGGAGTGTGACTTCACACCGGTCTGTGGGATTCCAAGCCTAAGTTTAAGTCAAACAGGAGAAAGGCTCATTACATTTTCTCCATAAATGTATTTCTGTCAGGACCACTATCGTCAATATAACTTACGATTAGCATACATTTTACGCTACGCTCCATTTATTCATCATACACTTTGATCAAAGCTACTTAAAAATAATATACAGAATCATGCGCTTATATAAATTAGATACAAACTGTGAATGCTGACTTGACAAAGGCTTTTCAGAAAGTTTAAAAACCTTTAAAGTTGGAGGATTATATAAGCTTTACTGACAGACATCAAGGGAAATCGAAGGGGATTTTTTGAACATCCACTACATGAAAAACTAAGTCAGATCAGTTAGAAAAGATGATGGAATTATCAGCAGAAATGTACAATGTAAGCATATGCGATTTGGGGGATTGTCTGATACGGGAACATTTTAGGGAATGAAGCTTGAGCTACAGTTCAAAATGTTGGTGTCAGTTTATGGATTTAGAAAAAGTAACAGCATGTTCCCTTTCTCAAGCCAGCATGATGATTTGTTAGTGCAGTGTAAACATTATTTCAGTTATTAATCAAAAATAAATAAATAAATCACACAAATAAATGTCTAATGAAGCACATATATGTCCTCTACACTCCAACTTCCTGTCAACTATGTCTCACGGTTCATTGGCAGTGTTTTTTTGGGGGTTATTTGGCATCTCGTCTCTCTGCTCACCTGTAGTTTCCGTCCTCAGTCTCTCTCCTCCTCTCTGCACTGGTTGACCGTTGCTGCTCCAGTTCTCCTCAGCTCAGAGATGGTGACTTTATATTTAAAAGCTTTTCCAAAAGATTTCAAGCGGTTCTTTCCAAGACTCCAGAGCAGCTGCAGGATAAAACTCTCCGTCAGGAAAGGAGGAATAGAGTGCAAGTGAAGAGGGAAAGGAGGGGTAGAATCTGCTCATGTTTGCTGTTAAGGAGGAGTTTCTCTGAACTTCAGCTACGCACATATTTGCAAACATGGACACACAAACACACACTGAAACCAAACAGTGATAAATGACTGATATACAGTATCAGTGTGTCATGTTTTCAGATGAAGAGATCTGCTTTAGTTGTCAGCTTTAGTTTTAAGTGTAATTTCTAGGGCTACGCCTTAACACGATAAAATAACGCAATCTTACACTGATGCAGTTACTGACAAACGTGATGCAGATCGACAACTGACTGTGTGATGTATGCAGTTTGATGGAATGCATGATGAATGATGGAATGCAGTTTTATGCCTCTAAAGTTTAAGATTTGATGGCAAAAAATGTCCCTATTGGTTTTTAACTTATTTATTTTATATGATATAGTTTAGCAATTTCACACGAGCAAGACAAGAGTGCTGTTTCTCCCGAACAATTGCACGATCGCGAAACTTCAATAAACAAAAAGTTATGTGTTCAATTTTAGACACAGTATTGTCTGTTTTCAACTTCGCAAACGAAAAGTTTCAAACAAAGCCACAGCAAAGCTATTGACTTTTTGAGCGACACAGTGTTTCGTTACTGAATGAATTCATGAATTGAGTGAGCCAATAATGATTCAGTGACTCGTTCATAAAGACAGTCACTTGCTGCGTTTCTGAATGAATCAGCTGTTTGAACGAATCGGTTGAATGAATGACTCACTCATTATGTACATAAATAAATATATATATATATATATATAAATCTCAATATCGAAAAATTGACACTTAAGACTGGTTTTGTGGTCCAGGGTCACAAATACTCTCATTAACAAACAGATTTATCTTGTACTAAATAGAGAAAACTTTTTTAAATTAAAATTGTATTATACAAATGTAAACTTAATCTTTATTGGTTAATTATATATATATATATATATATATATATATATACTTTTAAATTGCTTGACAGCCCTAGCTATTTCATATGAACATTTTTTCATGTTTCACACTTAAAATTGAATAATTAATTAAACTGCATTGTAATATAATTTGATTGTATTTTGTCAAGTGTGGCATGAGGTCTAGACAACACTAAAAGCACAAAGCAGCAAAATCTGACTAAATACCATAAAGAAGCTCAGATAAATACAATTATTATTATATAATGCATTGTTAGTTATCATTAAATGAAACTTTTTCATGGTAAAGGTGAGATTCTAATACACCAGTGATAAAATGGTTTAACCTCAAAACAGTTCAGGAACAAATCTCACACATTTGGATCTAATTTCAACATTAATAAGAGCAAAACCATATACAAAAAACAACATACTGTACTGTTTT